GACGGAGGAGGAGAGGAGGGAGAAAAGTGAGGGCGGCCGCGGCGGCGGCGGCGGGAGAGGGCGGGAGAGGGCGGGCCGGGCCCGGCCCGGCGCCGAGCTGGGCTCCCGGCAGCCGGTGATCGTTCTCCATCCACAGTGCTGGGGACATGTGTGGGGCTGGGCCCTTGTTTGAGGCGTTACCGGGAGTCTCGGTGAATAATATCATAATATCACTGCTACTTCCCTCAGCTCGGGAAGGCTGTGCTTCTCCAGAGACCTTTGTCAGGCAACTGGCTCAGTCAATTCAATCTTTTTTTTTTCTTTTTCTGGTGGTATTTTTCAGCTCCACATAGTGGACAGACCTCCACAGGGCAATAAAGGACAAGTTTTACTTAGACATAAGCATTTTTAAGTAAATTGCATCTCATTCCCATGTCCTTTCTTTGCAGTTTATCAGGTCTTTGAAAATGTGGCCAAGAAATACGATGTAATGAATGATTCAATGACTCTAGGAATTCATCGGGTGTGGAAGGATATCCTCGTGCATAAAATGAACCCTTGCCCAGGAACACTCCTCCTTGATGTTGCTGGGGGAACAGGTAAATAATTTGGGTGAGTTCCACATGACAATGCCACACTCTTTTTCAGCTGTTTGAATCTGCTCAGAATTACATTTCCCGCTGTTTTTTTTTTTTCCTCACCCTTAGCTCCCTGTCTTTAAAGCTAGTGAAGCATCTACTTGACTTTCCCAGGGAAGGGTTGAGAACTGATATCTTTGTGTTTTGTAATATCTTGCTTTAAGGGTCTGAAAGTATTATAGTCCTGCCATGTTATGTTACGGGAAACTGTGTGAATTTGTAGAATATCATGGACTCTTTGATTTTAATAAGTTCCCTTTTTGTCTTTACCCATGTACACACACACACACTTTCTGTGTCTATTACAGTGTGTCTGAGGGGGTGTTTTTATAAATATATATGACTAAAAAGAAATAGTAAGTCAGTTGGGTGTTCAAAGCCTTGTGTTTCAACTCCTGGAGTCAGAACATACTCCAAAATGTGTGTCTTTCCTTTGAAACAACTGCAGGTGACATTGCCTTTCGATTCATTAATTATGTTCGCTCTGTACGACAACGCCAGCTCCAGAGGAAGCTCAAGCACCATCAGAATTTGTCATGGCAGGAAATTTTTGAGAGTTACCAGAATGACAAATTTAACAACTCACTAGGGGATTCCCAAGTGGTGGTCTGTGACATCAACAGAGAAATGTTAAAAGTTGGGAAGCAGAAAGCACAGCATCTTGGCTACTCTGAAGGTAAATAATGCATTGTACTGTGGCTGGAAAGGAATTCCTGATTGCAAGAAATTGTGAGGGACAGAGGTTTTTTTGCTGTTTCCCTGTGTACATTCAGGAAGAGTGGGAGCTGTGCATGGGGAAAAGGAGCATGAGTTGCACAGTCACTGATTGTGCATTTAGTCTGCTTGCCAATGACCTGGACATACATGCTCTACAGATAGATGTGGTCTTGATCCTTTGGGGACTAGGAAGCAACACAGCTGCAACTGCATCATATACTGATAGTCCTGATGGAGGGAGTGTGGCTTTTCATGTTCCTCAACATGTGGGAGCTTTCTAGCAAAATGTGTTGAGTGTTTTGGCCATTGTTGCATGGTAAGATGTTAGTAATTGTCCATAGCTACAGTTTGAGCAGGGATTCTCTTTTACAACTTTGCCACAAATGGCAGCCAACAGTGCTTTCCACTATGATGCAAGTTTTGGGTAAAATCCTTGTGGCACATACTCAGTGTGTGTATGTGCAGAATGATGTTTTGGCTGATCTGCAAAATCAACTACTCTGTCTTGAAAGATTTGCAAGTAGAGGCCAAGGTGTCTTTCCTCTAACAAAACTGCAAAATGGAAACATTTGCTTTCAATATCACTTTAAAATAATCAATTCCTTCTAGAATTGGTAAGTTCTAGCCTTTCTGGAGCAGTCTGAGCTCAGTTCTATGACTTGTCTTTCACTACAGGCTTGTCCTGGGTACTTGGGAATGCTGAAGAGTTGCCCTTTGATGATGATAAGTTTGATGTTTACACAATTGCCTTTGGAATCCGAAATGTAACTCGTATTGATCTGGTAAGTTACTGTAGTGTATCCTGACGTGGGGTCCTTATGATTTTTTATTCTACAAAGGAAGCAAACTAGGAACTCCTTTGGATAAAGGAAGATCCTAGTCTACTCCTGAAACTTTTAAAATAAGTGGCATGTAGTGTGCAACTTGTGTGAATAGAAAATGCAATTAAGTGCCCCACCTTTGTCATAAAAAGATAGATTTATACCAGTTGCACCCAATCCTTCCAGCTTGGCAAGCCACCCAGTCTCAGGTTCCTAAGGCAAAGGGCCACATGTTACAGTCATTCCCCACCTTCTCCTGACCTATGGCATGGGTGGGTGGATCTGCACATGCACAGAGCAATCAGGATGCACATCTCAAATCCTCCTGCAGCACCTGATCTATATCCCACCAACAGTGGGTCCAGTGCTTCCCGTCCCCTTCTGTTTCCCTGCCTGAGCCAACAGAGCTGCCAGAGCAGAGTGGGAAGGAGGCTGCTGCCCCCACTGCTGTTGAACCAACCTGCTCAGCCCAGTGCTGCTGAGCATCTTTACACTGGCTGGTGGCAGAGCTCCCTATAAAGAACAAGTATGATTTTAATTAGGATAAATAGTACTCTTTTACTCTAACTATCAGATAGTTCTGAACTATCTCTGTCCTTTGAGAAGGACTGGCTGTTGTGGGGGTGACACCTGTCTGGAGGCACTCATTGTCTGTTTTGGAGGAGTGTGTTACAACCTTGGCAGAGCTCCTGTGGAAGGTGAAGCATTTGGATCCAAACCACCTTGAACCATTTTCCTTTGAACTTAATGTGCATGTGGCTTTTCCAGGTGCTTTGTCTGCACCCTTCCAAAGTACAGGCTCTTTGCCTTCATGCATACAGCAGTGTGGTCACAGAGCTCCCTGGAGACCTGATACAAAACACACTCAAGCTGCCAAGACTTGTGCAGAGCTCCTGTGTAGTGTTGATATTTTATCCCATAGGAACAGGACAGTTGAAGTAAAAAAAATGTACAGCCTTCAGAGGTTCTGGAATACAACTCTGCTCTTGTATGAAAGAACATACAGTTTTAAACAGGATTTTGTCTAGATTCTTGTTAGGTGTTCCATTTTGATGCAGGATGGAATTTTCAAAGTAGCCAAAGATTTTCTTCTTTCTCTTTCCTTCCTGTTCTTACACATTGTTCATCCGAAACCCAGTATCATTCCTTCTTTGAACCTTTGGGTGTGCCTCTCAGTAAAATCTTTTGATTGAAAAAAAATTATCATGCCTGTTTTTGATTTTCAGTTTCTTGTAGCTGAGTCACCTTCTCCCTTTTGTGTTTGGTCTGTAATTATAAGAGCTCAGCCAACAAACTTTCATCAGTTGCGAGTAGGGAAAGAAAATTGCAAACCTGACATCACAGTTTTGACACAAAGCCTTGTAAAATCTATTTATGTAACAGCAAGAGTATTTGTGCTTTGGGTTTGTGGCACATTTGGGGCTTTTTTTTATACTTGTCTTGGGATGCTTCTCTACAGTAAATATTGCAGATTGCCAGTCAGGATACTCTTCATTCCCCTCAGTTCATCAGGGTTGCATGGTAACATCACATGGCATGATAATAGGCAGGTGCTGTTCTACAGAAGCAAACTTACCACATCTGCTTTGTCTCAGGCACTTCAAGAGGCCTATCGTGTGCTGAAACCAGGAGGAAGATTTCTCTGCCTTGAATTCAGTCATGTCAGCAACCCTCTTCTTTCCAGGTAGGAGCATGGTGATGCTTTATGCCAAGTCACAGGGCTCTCTTGTTTGTACTCAGAATAAGATGTGGAGACACTTTGAGACCACATCTTGGTGCACTTTTAAAGCAGCTACAGACTGTACAGCCTAGTGGCACAGAGAGCAGCTCGTGTTGGAGAGGGTTTAAATTTGTTTCTGTTAATCTGTATTTACCATCTGTGTGTGCAGGCTCTATGATCTCTACAGTTTCCAGGTTATCCCTGTTCTGGGTGAGGTTATTGCTGGTGACTGGAGATCTTACCAGTACCTTGTGGAGAGCATCCGACAGTTCCCCCCTCAGGTAAGGCAGGATTTCCCCAGGTTCACTGACACACAAAACACAATTCCAGCATAATCTTGTGGCCAGCTGGCTTACGGGCCTTCAGGTTGTTAATACTTATGGCACTTATTTTTCAGGAGGAGCTGAAGGCAATGATAGAAGATGCAGGCTTTTTCAAAGTGGATTATGAGAATTTGAACTTTGGCATTGTTGCCATTCACTCAGGTTTCAAACTCTGAGTCTGGGTACCAAAACACCAAAAGTATCATTTTCATGAGGGATATGAAAGCTGTGGAATTTTAACGGGATCAAAAGGAGTCCTGAGAAGTTGTGCAGCAGACACTTGCTCAGCAGCTGGGCTCAGAAGAACACAAGTGACCTCTCCCCACCAGAAGCCTGTGCAGTGACTCCACTGGTGTTTCTTACACTTGCATTTCCCTTCAAGTGCAATGTAAAGGATGTGGCCAAAACTGAGCAATGCTGACGAGCGAAGCAAGTTGGCAGTGGGTGTGGATAAAGACACAGACTGATTAGTCTCCAAATAAGATGCCTTTCTTTTTACTAAGCTTTGAAGGAGGATATTATACTTGTGAGAAGTAACTTGGATTTATGAAGTAACTATGGACTTTTATGAAGCTGTTATTATCTTTGTCATCTGGAGTTTAAGGATTTTCTTCCCATGACTCCTTCTTTCAAAGGCAAATGGAAGGCTTATGAAATAAAAGGGCTCTGCATCAACTTTTTTCCACTTAAATCAGTCTTGTAAGAAGGTTTCCTAAGAAAGGATGCATTTGGGGTGTGGGAATCAAGGTGGGGATGTTCATCCTTCATTCACATGGCAATAAAGAGGGCAGTTCAAGAGGGCAAAGGGATAAACGATTTTATTAGCAAAGAAGCCATCTTTTGAAAGAAAATAAATACAAGGAAGACATTTTTGCTTTTTTATATAGCCACAATGAAAATACCAGCCGCTACAGCAAAATCCCTGACCATTAACAATACAATACAAGACCTGAAGATCAAGATGTGTTTCCCCAGGAAGGCTGAAGGTGGGAATCAGTGTGCAGTCCTGTGCCCAGGTGCAAGTTTCAGTAACAGTCCATGGCTCTAGCCAGACTTGAACAGAAGAATAGCGACTTGGCCGAGGTAGAAGTAGATGAAGTGCTTGGTCTCATGAGTCACATAGCTGCCAAAGTTCCTTCCCACGATGCAGTGCCACGTGGGATTGTATTTCTTGTCAAATTCCTACAGAATAGAGAATTAGAAAGTCAGCATTTTCATGGTAATTATACTTATATTGTCTAACAGTTGGGGAGGCTTTTTTGGCAATGACTTGTCACTTGATAACAAGTATCACTTTTGGAAGAAGGCAATTAAAGAGCAGCATATGCTCCTAAGCACAAGGATCATCTGTCACTTTATAACTCATCTGCTGCTTAGTCATACCAAAAAAAAAACAAGTGCTTCCAAGCAGAGCAGGAATAAGCTTAAAACATATGTTTGGGGAGGTAACTTTTCCCCTACAGTCATGCCATGATCTCAAACCATAACTTCTAAGAATTTGTCTGCTTATTCTGAATCTCTGAATCTCCACTGAAACTGGTATTTTTCTATATTAGCTTCTGTTTCTGAAGCTAATGGACTTCATTAGCTTTTTTTTTGCAGTAAGGATGCTGAAAGAACACTTGATGGAAAATTCTCTGCCATATCTCTGACACCTGGTCATGAGATGATGATGTGACACACTGCTGTCAGGAGCCTGCTACAAACAAACTCCTGTGTACAGGTCTACAGTGAGCAAACCCATGCAATGAGTGGATTTATACTGCAGTACCTAACAGCTGTCAACTGAAAAGAATTTTGTGTGGACATGGAAGTTTCTGTTCTGCTCAACCAAACCCTTCAGCTCCTTGCAGCTCAGTCAGGCTCCCAGTAGGAGTCAAAAGAGAAAATGTGACAAACTGTAAGCTATGAACCATCTGTTCAGCATTAGCATGAACAGCTTGTCTTACATGTGGTGGGAAAGGCAAAAAACCAAACCCACTTATTACATGGTCGGCAAAGCACCACTCTTTAAATAGGCTGCACAGAGCCTGTGTCTTGTACCAGCTCATCAGTCACAGGGACAGCCATGTGCCACTCTCTGCTCAGCTGGACAATGGGGCAGTGGCAGAAAAGGTGTAAGGCATTACAAGAGAAAAGCAGAAGCACCTAGAAAGGTCCACATAAAGGGTGGGGAACAGAACAGAAAGAGAGAAAGTCTAACTTGATTATCTGGTGCCTCTAGAACTCGTTTCTCTAGAGCTACTTGCCTAGCAGCGTTCTCCCCCATTGATTTTTCATGAGCACATTATAAGCCAACATCTACCTTCTTTATGTGAGCAGCGATGTCCTTCTCGATGTTGTATTTCTCCAAGGCTTGAGTTGCACATTCCACCGAGTCTTGCTGCATCTCCTCTGACATGTCCGCATTTTTGATCACTGCCTTTCGATCACTCATGATTGCCTGCTTGAAGAAAAGGAAGGAAATTCAAAGTTGTAGGAGCACCTGCCAGAACCACCTGCTGCCCCACGGGTATCGCCGCGCGGTGCCCCCGCCCTGGCCGGGAGTGCCGGGCACGGCGCCGGGCAGCGGCGGCTCAATCGCCGCCTCACGTTCGGCACCCGCTCTCCGGCCGGAGCCGCACAAGCACCGCTGCCCTCCCCAGCCCCGCTGCAGCCCGGCGCCACCCGGGAGCTCCGCGAGAGAGCGCGGCCGCTCCATCGCCCGGCCCGACGGTCCTTCCCTGCCCCGGGGGAGGCGAGGAAAGCCCGGCACGCACGGCCAAGGGCTCGGAGCCCCGTGTGGCTGCCGGGTGCCGCCGGCAGCTGCCGGGGATGCGGGAAAACCGGAGGCGGCGGCCAGGGAAGAGCCCAGGCACGGTGGCACCGCCGGGACACGCGAGGTCCCCGGTACCGGGCTGGCAGAGTCTCTGGAGCCGCCTGCGCCCCGTCCCTCACCGTGCGGGCGCTGCGGGAGCGGCGCTGCAGAGCGGACGGCGCTGCGCTCTGGTCCGTGCGCGCCTCGCAGCGTCTCTGCCCCGCCCCCTGAACGGCGACCCCCTCCCCATTGGCCACCGGCACCGCCTCCCGGGCTCCCATTGGTCAGCGCTGCCGGCCCCTGAATGCCCATTGGCTGAGACGCGGCGCCCGGCCGGGTTTTACTGCAGCATTGTCTTGCGGCCCGCGATGCCCCGCGCCGCGTCCGTTCCCATGGCAACCGACGGGACGCAGGGAGGTACCGGGGGAACGGGGCTCGTGTTTTGGGATGGTCACGTAGATTTGGACTCTGTATGGAAAGCTTCCAGTCCTGACTCCCGTGCTACTGGTCTGCTGCGCCAGGGGAGGTTTAGGTTGGGTATTGGGAGGAATTTCTTCGCAGAACTGGTGATTAGACAGTGGAAGGGGCTGCCCAAGAGAGGTGGTTCTGTCACTGTCCCTGCAGGTGTTTAAGGAAAGACTGGACATGACACTGAGTGTCGTGGTCTGGTTGACGTGGTGGTGTTCAGTCACCGATTGGACTCGAGGTCTTTTCTAATCTAATTCTGTGATTCTGTGTGGCATCATCAGGTGATCCTGGGAAAAAAAAAACTTGTTCCTTAAAGTATGCCCAGTCTCGAAGGCATTGTAATTTGTCCACCAGCTTCTGTAAAACACCTTTCCATAGGTGATATGTGGGCCCCAAAAGCCATTTTATTATTTGCCCCAGCCTGGATCACAGGGATGCTGAGTTTAAGCAATGACAGACTTAGTTTCTCTTTGGAACAAGCTCTTGTTGGGAATATCCCTTTCAATAGTATGTTATATTACTGAAAGAATACTGGGATATTACCTAGGGCTGCTGTTTCAGTAATATGCCCTTTACTGGAGTGAAGCCCACCCATGTCAAAGGAAGGAGTTCCTCAACTTGTGAATGGCACTTGATCACCTGTCCTGTTCACTAGTCTGTTTTCAGTTGTGTCTTTTCAAGTCACAGTAAGTGACTGATAGAAATCTCTGACCCATGTTTACTGGGTATGATCAAGTCAGCTCCAAACTTTGTTCCTTTAGTGAACCAAATCTATCAGATTTTTATGTCTTCTTTTGCAGACCTCACTATTTCTGCAACTCTTGCCTTTTTTGTTTGTTTGTGTTTGGTTTGGGGGTTATTTTGGTTGGTGGTTGGGTTGGTTTTGTTTTGGTTGTTTTTTGTTTTTTTTTTTGTTGTTGTTTAAATGAAGCAAGATGTTTTGGTAGAACCTCAGTGCTCTGTTTTCTTAGTTTCACTCTCCCTGGGGCACTTTCTGCTTACACTCTTGTCAGCAGATAGAACATTGCTGTTGAGTCTTCCACAGCTGATCTGTTAATAACAGGACTCTGAACCATGTCTACAGCAAACAGCACAGGATGATTTAAAAGAGGTTTTTAAATACTGGTTGGTAGGACTCCCATTTCCCTGTAGAAATTTAAAAAACCCACCTCAACAGCAGTCATTCACCTCACTTGCAATGTAAATATTTTGCATATTCTTACAGTGTAGTTACCTGCTCAGTGTCATTCAGAGCAAAAGCAGAATAACTGCAAGCAACTCTTTGCTTTTGCAAACTCTAAGGCAACCTCAGAAGAATACACTGCCCCCAGAAATACTGAAACTGCATAATGTAATATTTTTGTCACTCTAGAATATCTCAGAAATAACTCCTGACTCACAGGTTTTAACATTCCAAACAGAGATACAGTTCACAACTTTGCTTGTGTGCTAGAAACATGAAGGAGTTTTGAATGGCCTTGGGGCCACAGTAAGTAATTAATTTCCAGAACTGTGTTCAGTATCTGCAGCACTTGCAGTAGTTCTTTGAGTACTGGACAGTTTAGTGCTGACAGAATGGAACCATTTAACAATCTTCCAAATGCTGCCACTGAACTTCAGAAACACCCATGGATCTCTGAGGAGGTGGCTGTGTTTGGTAGCTGCAGGCAAGTTTCTCTGCATTTATTGAGAAATGGTTTGCTGGAGGAACAATTGTGATGACGACTGCAGGAAATGGCAGTGTGGGTGAGGTGCACGTTGTTAATGAGAAACATTAAAGCCTGGGATACATCACAGTCCTACTTGGTAATCAAGAGTATAAAAGTAGAGTTTCCCTCAGGACAGAGCTGCAGGGAAAGGCAGAACAAATAAACACAGGAGATGATAGCAGGTGTAGAGGAGGTGCTGAAGAAAACTGGGTAATGGATAAGGCATCTCATGAGATTGCTCTCCCAGTTTAGGCTGTAAGCACTTTTCATGAGGTGGTTTTTCACTCTGTGTTGCACAACCTATCACTGTATTAACAGATTTTTCCTGGGGCTCCCAGTTAATAACAAAACATAAAATCATCATTATTACCAATAAAACTACTTCCATCTTCTTTTCTTTCCACAAAGGCAAAGAAATCTCCACAGTGAAATTTTCTTTGTAAACCTGGGATTTATATGCAAGAGCTTCCAATCTAATTTTAGATCTACAGTTTGGTGGTGGTGGAAAAATGTCAGCAGCTCTAAGTGAGGTTATCTCCATGGTCTCCAGAGAAACTGGATCCATTTACTGAGTGCTGCAGTGAATGCAGGGGAACCAGCACATGAGGGGGTGTCTCTCCCTCTCCCAAAGTGCAGCCAGGGCCCAGTGGGGCTCAGCACCATCCCCTGGGGCTCAGCACCAGCAGTGATAGACCCACTGAGGCACTGACATGCCCTGCCCCACAGGAAGCTCATCTGCCCTCTGTGAGCTTTTCTTTTTGGTGGTTGCAGGTGTCTGAGTCAAGGTTGTAATTCCCTTATTTGTGGTGAAGGTGCATCAAACCCCTTCATTAAGGAGATGTGTGTTTTCCACTTTAAATGCAGTTTGGGCTGCAGGGAACAAGCATCAGGCAGTCTGTTCTTTCCCTAGAGTGTGTGGGAGCAGCACTGAACTGGCAGTTTTAAGTTTAGCCTGTGCTGCATTGGCAATGTGGGATCATCTTGTCCAAATTGTTGGTTTAGTTGTTGCCTTTAAATAGTTACTTGATGCTATTTTGGGTTAAAAGCTCCTGCAGCCAGTCAGTTCCCTCTCAAATTCCTCTTCCTTTTTCTGTGTAAATAATATTGTCCCCATTCTCTTTGATGGTCAAAGGAAGAGGCCAAAATAGATAGATCAAGGGGGGACTTCTCAAAGTGGAAATTACCCACTTTGATATTATGATTGTGGTATTGATCATATTGATTGATAGATATTTGAAGTCTTTCCTTGTTATGATTTCTATACACCTCATAAATTCCTTACAGGCTGAGCTTGTATATTTGTAAACTTCAGCATTTGCAGGGTCTGAATCTTGACAAGTCTGAGACTAAAACAGTAATACAGTGTCACAGCGTTGCAGAGGATTGGAGTAGTGGTGTTAAATAGAGGCTTTATTTCAATACCCTTGAAAGAATTCAGGTATCACAGTAATTACATGTTTTATGCATCTAGGTGAGTATATTATGGATGCTTATACAAATAATGAGGTAATTGCACAATTAAAGAGTGGGACAAGGGTTTGCTCTCACCTCCAGACAGCAAATTCACTTTGCCAAATAAAAGCACCCAGGTCATCTGCCATGCTGCTGTCCAGCTTCAGAGACATTGAATATTTCAGCAGCACTACTGAACTTTTACACTTTCTTTCTCCTCTCTTGCAAGTGCTCTTCTTCTGACCAAAATACATGCCAAGGTGTTTCAGCTGTGACTGCACAAAACTTCATTTTCCCCAAATAATATACTGAAGGGGCATTTAGGCTCTGGGCTGTCATTGAGAGCCCTGCAGAAAAGTCTCTCGTTCTTCCAGCTTTAGTAAAGGGATGTTACCTGAGAGAAAACAAAAAACAAGTTGTGTGAGACCAGCTGTAAGCTACCTTGTGGGCAGGACACCGTGGCATGCAAGTGTTTCTCCAGTTTACTCCATGTACAGGCTGCCTAAATATCCTGAGAAAGTCAGGGAAGTAAGTCCTGCCTGACATGTGCAGTAACTTCAGAATCAGGTCAGCCTCTGTGCTGCTTCTGGACCAAGAAATTGCACATGATTTTATACAGATGGCTACAGTAATTTCTTTTAGTGCTCCCTATTACTTACTAGTATTTCTGATACTAAATGCAGCTATGGCAGATTATTTTCTTCAGGTTAATTCAGATGAGATTAAGAGATTTTTGTAAGCAAGTCAATACCTGGTGGAGCCACAAAATACTCCTCTACTTTCTCTCTGGCATTTTCCAGCAGTTCTTTGGTGCAGTTGCCTTCTGTCACATCATCTTCTCTGAGATACAGACACCTGAAGGACAAAGGTTACTGGTTGTCTTCAAGCTGTTGTGTGAATATGAGGTAGGAAGGGTGGCTTATCTCTAAATCTGGTGTTGGTCTCTTAAATAAACACAGAGAAGTACTGGAACATTTTGAAGCACTCAAAAATGGCACTGGCAGGCATTGGGGGTGCAGTGTGACAATTAAGACAGATTAAAGAACTGAAGTTCACCTTTGCTTTGCTCACACATAAAAATTACACAGCCAATGACAACTTTCCCCCACAGAGAACCACAGGAAGACGTTCTGAGCAAAGGGGCCACATGCACGGTGATTCCCAGGGGGAAAAGGTCCCAGAAGCAAACAGTTTGATGCATGAACAGATAAAAGGAGGCTGCTGTGATTCACCACCTGTCCTCCAGCACTGAATCCATGGGTTCCACGCCATCGGTGTTCACTTCATGAAGCTGATCAGCAAACTGGATTGCTTTCTGCAGCCGCTCCACACCCTCTGCATCCCGGAAATCCACCAGGGCCAGGTGCTCCAGGTGCTCCAGCACTTCCACCGACACCTTCTGCTGTACAAAAGCATCAATAGGGACAAAAAAAGTCAAAAATGAACAAGTTTAATAGTGCTACTTTCTTTTAATTAGAAACTTTTTGTGAGGGTACCAGTTGTGGGTTTCTCTGGGTCTGGATTGAAGGCCCTTGAGACAGTAGTTCATGTTTGGACTCAAGTGTTTATTATTTCTTATCAGCAAAACAGTCTCACTACTGTGAGTTCGGCAGGTTTTCATTAGAAGGCACAAAATGGCCCACAATCTCTTGTTACAAGGTCTTTTAAGACTAAACTGTCCAATTAAGAGCTGACACCTATATTATTTTCCCTTTTAACCCAATAACTGATCACAAGGAGCCCACAATGCGGACTTTTCTGCCCAATTACAAAATGCCACCCAAACCCACGGAGAAGAAGGAAGAAGAAGCATGAAGAAGAAACCCAGGACAACACCCTGTGCCCTCCATCTTGCTTCCACCCACAACATACTAAAAATCCCAAAACCTCAATTTCTCACCAAGTGACACACCTACACTACTCTCTATAATCTATTTCACCCTTTTGTAGATTCTAGTCTGTTCTGAAGTTTAGGAACCTTTCTCCATGAATGAGGATCAAAGTCAGTGCTCCCCTGGGGGTCAGGGCACCCCAGAGCAGACAGAGAAACATTCCCGCTGTTCTGGGTTTCCACACTTGTTACACGTCAAAAACGGAGTTTACAAAGAATCCTAAAATCGTTAAGGCTGGAAAAGACCTTTAAGGTCACCAAATGCAGGGAGCCGCTGATCGCTGTCCCTCTCGGGGGAGATTAACGGGTGGTGTAGCCCGTGCCCGCCTCGCGGGGGGCGGAGCGGCGGTGCCCGAGCGGTGTCTGCGGTGTTACCCGGAGCGGTCCCTGCGGCCGGTGCCCGCTGTGCCCGCTGTACTCGCTGTGTCCCCGGTACCGGTGCCCGCTCCCCGGTGCCCGCGGGAGGCCCCGCCCGGCGCGGAGCCACGGCCCGAGGAGCAGCGCGCGCATCGCCGCCGCCTCCCGGCCCGCCCGGATGTGCGTCAGTGGCGGCGCGCCCGGCCCGGCCCGGCCCGTCCGGCGCGGCCGCCGCGATGAACAGCGTGGGCGAGGCGTGCACCGAGCTGAAGCGCGAGTACGACCAGTGCTTCAACCGCTGGTTCGCCGAGAAGTTCCTCAAGGGCGACAGCGCCGGCGACCCCTGCGGGCAGCTCTTCAAGCGCTACCAGCTCTGCGTGCAGGTGCGTCCGGCCCGGGCCCTCCGCTCCCTGCCCCTCACGTCCTTCCCCGCGCTGACCCTTCCACCCCCGGCCCGGTGCCCCCGGCAGCCTCAGGCCTCAGCACAGACCCCCACACGCAGCGCTGGGTTTGTCCCGCCCCTTGTCTGTCGGTCATGACATGAATATTTTACAGGCGTTTCCTATTTTTAATGTACATTTCTTAAGGCGGATTTGTAGAGGCTGCAGCAGGTTTCTTTTAGAGTGACTGTAGCTCAGTGAGTTCTCAGTACATTCTTCAGCAGCTCTAACGTTGAAACGTTATTCAAACCAGCATCTCTATCATTGAAGCTTTATTCAAACCATCCTTTAAGACTACTTTTTCTGGATCACTTGCTTTTTAGATGATTTCTATTCAGGCAACAAGCCATAGGACAAGAGGATACAGATTTAAGCTGCACCAGGGAGGTTTAGGTTGGACATTAGGAGGAGTTTTTTCACAGAAAGGGTTATCAGATGTTGAAATGGGCTGCCCACGGAGGTGTAGGCAGTGTTTAAGGAGAGCCTGGGCATGGCCTTGGTCTGGTTGACAAGGTGCTATTACTCACAGGTTGGACTGGATGATCTCAGAGGTGTTTTACAGCCTCATTGATTTTGTGGTTCTGTGCTTTGTACCAAAGATAACATCATGAAGCCCTATAAAGAAGTTCTGAATTTAATTATTTGGTTTTCTTCTTTTCAGAAAGCAATAAAAGAAAAGGACATACCCATTGAGGGCCTGGAGTTCATGGGCCCAAGTAAAGGAAAAACCGAGAACTCCTCCTGATGTTGGCAGTATGGGTGGAGTTACTGACAGCAGCCTTTGGACTAAGCACCATCACCAGGTGTGCCACAGGTGCCACCTGGAGAAGACCTTTGTTAACTGCTTTCTAGGAAGTGAAAAATGTTCTCTGCTTGTGAAAACAAACAGCTAAAAGAAAAAAAACCCAAAACTGGATAATGTGGTAACTGCTGCCTCCTCGCCAGTGAAACTTGGTGGTGGTTCAGCATCTGATGGCTTAAAAATCCATGTGAGCTTCCTACTGAATGTACTCTGCAGTGGGGAATGCTGGTTGGAGTGGGCTGGGATGGGCTCTTTGTGACTAATTTCTCTCGCTTATTTATATAACACTTGAAAGTGTTTAAAAAGAATATGAAGGGGGTTGATGTACTTGCTATCATCTCTATGCTGCTGAATTTTGGTGATGAAATTAGTTTCATGTAATGCTGAAGGGCTTAAGCACTGTTTTGTGTCAGCTGCAGAGACGGTTTAAGAGCACTAGTGGACCTGCAACAGCTTGGCTAAAATAAATACAACCAGGTTATATTTTGTTCAAGTAGGTAACTGTGCAGTAGAGTCTGATTGTGCCCCCTAGGAGGCATGGAAGTGCCTGCTCAGCAGCTGAAGAGAAGACTTTTAATGCAGAGGCTATTTCAGCCTTTTCTGAGGTACTGACACATCCATGAACTTGGAATTGTCTCTCTCCTTTTAGCATTACATATTTCTGTGGTTTGATCCTCACACAGGGATGGGGCAAAGCTTGCCCCTCTCCTTACACCAGCACAGGGGAAAAAGATATTATGGACTGGGGACAAAAGATAACTTCATAATTCTGGAATTACAGTGAGAAAAAAAAAGAAAGCTTCCCTCTCAGCTTTTAATTACTACTAATTATTTAAAGATTATACTTTAAAAAAAAATACAAACTAAAAAGGTGTAGTTCTCAAATACTACGGCTGGCCTGTCTGCACCACAGCCCCTCACAGAGCCCAGACCCTGAGTCCTTGTGCAGAGGATCAGGAACTGTTGCAGCCTGAGGCTGTTGTGCCTGTGCCAGTCACAGAGCCAGGTGAGCCACACTCCTGTTCTCAGGTGCAGAGAGTTCCTACAGCACTGAAAAAACAGGCTGTTGGCAAAGTGCAGCAGGTCTAAGGGAAGGATCTATAAATAGCATTTTGGAGACAGTTGACTCTGTAGCTTTTCTTTTTTAAGGAATAACATACAAAACCAGTTTGCTTTTCTATGATCTTAGTGTAGGGCTAAATGTAATGTGACTTTGTCAGCTTTAAAACTGTGCCCATCAGTGCCTTGTACTTTCAACACAGGAAAACCTGTCTGAGCAATCTTCTACTGGTAAGCAGACAAAAAAAATCCCATGGAAACATGGGGAAGGGCATCCTGCAGTGGCACTTTGAGATTCTCTCTTGCCATCCATCACTCCTTTCCACAGCAAGATGCCAAAGCAGCTGCTGTGTTCTACCTTTTGGAGGAACCACATTCATGACAGCTGAGATAGAGCTCACATTGTGCAAAAACCACGGAAGTTATAGTAAGAAGTGGAAAAGGGTTTACTTGTAGTGAGCTAAACCTTGAAAATGAAAAGTTGTACTGGCACAGGCTCAGGCTAGTGGCTCACTATTTCCTTCTGCTTCAGGCAGATTCTGCACAACACAGTACATGCTATACAGACATAAGCAGTAGAACCAAAATTGTGTTTTCTTCTGCAAAACCTGTGTGAGACTTTGTACAGACTGCAGCTTTATGGAAAGCACAGTGGTGAGCAAGATATGTGCTGATGTACCTGAAAATTTGAGAACAGTGTGAAGGCAGAGCTTAGCTCAACATCTTTGCTGTTCTCCCTGTGCCAGAAGGGACCAGAGAAAAATCACCTTCATGACTGTTAATAAATATTGCAAGAGCTGATAATGGAGAATGTGCTTCAGTATATATTGACTATTAATCCATGTATCTGTTGTTCTGGCTGTGACTTTAGTCATCAGTTAAACCAGACAAGAACATGAAATGGTTTCATGTCCTATGCCAAGTGCATTCCTGGTGTTTGTGTTAGCAGACACAGGAACATGTGCTACCATTCAGGCAGTCAAACCCCTTTGCTCCTGCACTCTCTCCTGGGGGAAACCTTAATGCTTTTTGCCAACACTAAACTAAAAAACTCCAAAGGATTCAGGTAAACAAGTCAAATCCCAAATTCACGTTCAGAGTTGTTTATTTAAAGGGCCCCATCACAAGCACACAGGGGGCCACACCACCACTCAGCTTCATCACAGAAGAAACACAGAGTTTCTGAAACTATGACCCCAGAAATGATGGCTCCCACTCAACATTCTGGTTCAGGACGGGGAGAGCCAAAGTTCTGGCTGTTGGCAGAATCTTGGTTTTAATCTTCATAACCAGTTGGGAGAGGGTTAACGTGGGGGTTGTGAAACAGAGTTTTATTCCCATCACCCCAGGGGAAACGCTGTTGAAAGAAGAAAGAAAATCAGCCAGTGGCAGCTGTTGAACAATCCCTACAGGCACCTGAAACCAAGAACAGTACACATTCAAATATCAACTCTCCCAGGCAATTAGTGACAGGACAGGAGGAAATAGCCTCAAGCTGTGCCACAGAAGGTTCAGGATGGACATCAGGAGGAACTTCTTCACAAAAAGGGTTGCTGAACATTGGGACAAACTGCCCAGGCTGCTGGGGTCACCATCCCTGGAGGTGTTTACGTACAGACTGGATGTAGCACTTAGTGCCATGATCTGGTTGACAAGGTGGAGGTCTCAGAAAACTTTTCCAACCTAAATGATTCTATGATCACACAGCTTGACAGGCTGGTGAATTAGGCAAGCTGGCTCCCAGGATGTAGGGGAAGCAAGAGCTGGAAAGCTTTGCCTCCCTTAGCTGGGAGCCACAGTGGGAGCACAATCGTTGCTCTTAAACAAACATTGTGCTGTATTATGAGGACCCCAATTTTGAGTATTTTGGGATCTGTATTACTTTAAGTACGGCAGCTCTAGGACTGAAACATTTTTCAGTAATACATTAGGAGGATCACTCTGGGGTGGGAGGGCCTGTGAATGTCATGGGTACTCCATCAGAGCTGTGACAAACTCTCACTGCCTCAGAAACAGCCGTGAGTTGGTATCACAGCCATCTCACGCAGCAGTCTCAGAGGAAGCTCCGCAGCCGTGCAGGGGAAGAGGGCTGTGACCCGGGCAGAGGTACCTTGGTCCGGATGCGGAGGTGCGCGTAGGGCACGAACTCGGGCCGCTCGTGCTCGTGCTTCCCCTTCAGGTAGCAGTTGAGCATGCACACGGCCACGCCGGGCAGCGCCACCACGAACGTCAGCGTCTTCCACATGCGGGCTGGGCAGCGACAGCGGGATCAGAACAACGAGCAGGGTTCTCATCAGCGATACCGACCCCACACGCGTTACCGCAATTAGCGCATTAACGAGGCGCTTATGAACCTGAGTTCCACGCCCGAGCGCGGGTACCCTCCCCGTTTGTAACGGGGATCCGGACTCACGGTTTAGCCCCGGTTCAGGCCTCACCGAGCGCCGGCCATGCCCCGTTCCCGCAGCGAAGGGCACCGGCTGTCAAGGGCAGCCCCACGCCGGCCGCGGGCGCCGGCTCCGCCCTCGCCCCGCAGAGCCCCGTTACCTCCGCCCTCCTCGTGTGCGGCGGCCGCCGCCAAGCCGCGCCCCGGCAGGGAGCGCGGGGCGGCGGCACCGAGCAGCAGGCGGGACACCCGTCCGAGCGCCGCCATGTCCTCCTGTCCGCACAGCGGGACCGGAACCGGAACCGCGCCGGGCGGAACCGGCGGCAGCAGCGGCCGCGCTGACCTTGAGCGGGGCCGCCCGTGCGCATGCGCCGCCCTGCGCGAGAGGGGCGGGGCAGTGACGTCAGCGCGGTGAGGGCTGAGGGGCGGCCCGGCGCCATCTTGGGGCTGAGGGCGGAGCGGGCCCGGGCGGGGCTGGGGGAGCTCGGCCTGGGGGCGGTGACAGAGACACTCGCTTAGTTTGGAGGTGATCTCGGGGGGCATCGTGTCCGTCCTACGTCCGAACATTACCGTGTCAGACCATGGCACTCAGTCTTTCCTTAAACACCTTTAGGGACGGTGATTGCACCACTTCCCTGAGCAGCCCATTCCAATGTCTGATCACACTTTCTGTGGAGAAATTACTCATGATGTCCAACCTTAACCTCCCCTGGTGCAGCTGGAGGTCGTTTTCTCCTGTCCTGTCGCCATTGCCTGGGCGAAGAGGCCGATCCTCACCTGCCTACATCCTCCTGTCAGGTAGAGAGTGATGAGTAGTTCCGGAATTGAAAAGTCCTCGGGCTGTGGGGTCAGGGAGAGTGCTGGGGATGTCCCAGGCATGAGGGAATCAAAGAGGCCCTCAAATGGTGCACTTCTGTTACCACCAATGTGTTTTTAATTACATGGATTCCTGGCGTGATTCTACTGAAATAATAACATCGCTTGAATGAACACAATATCTCCAGAAAAAAAAATATCTCTAGGTCTTCTTTTAGTTCTTTACTGGGGCCTGGTGGTTGGCTGTTTGACTTTTGGTGTAGATGGACAGTACATTTTTCAGCACAGCAAAATGAGAGGATTCCCATGGTGCATATAGAAACTGTTACAGTAAAAAAGCAAAGAAACAGAAGTTTTGGGAAGGACAATGGTAGGGGCTTGTCTGAGAGGAATGACATCAAGTTTTACTCCGAACAAGGTTTCTGTTGGAAGGAGGAGGTTGGTTGGCCTTATGCACACCTTGGTCCCATGGAATTGGTCACTTCTCTATTGCCAAGACCAAGGAATGCAGCCTGCCATGGCTGTAAGATGGGGAGATGTGTTTGCTGCTGGGGAACAGGATTTCTTTACCCATTTTCACTTGGAGCAGGGCTTGTGTCCAATTTACTGTGTAGTATAAAGGAATGGTAAGATGGCCAGAACCTTGGAAGGTTGTTGTGAAACATACCTTGGCATAAAAATATTGCTCAGTTATTTACTTTATCTGGGCACTGTAAACTGTTAAAAGTGCTTTGGTTTCTTTGTTCTTCTCTTATTTTTTAAAATTACAATTACCTCTTCCAGTACTTTGCTTTTGTATGTTTTTATTTAATACATAGTTTTAAGGACTGCTTTGTTTCCATACTGAAAGAAGTTATTCCCAGGTACTGTGTGTACCTGCACAAGTGTTCTGTCATCATGGACAGGATGCATTTTGTACAAAACAGCCCTCAAACCACTGGGGCTTGCCATGTGCACACACACCTGCTCTGCTAAATCCACACTGGAGGGAGATTTTGCCTTTCCACACCTTCATCCTCTGGATTCAGGCTTATGAGATGTCCAACATATCAGACTTTTAATTTGCATATGGGGTTTTGGGGGAAACATAAGATCTGAGAATTATTTAGTACAATATTTCAGTGATGAAACTAGGACTAAGTTCTGTATGCTAAAGCAAATTTGTAACAGGAACTGTATAAACAAAACTACTCCTGTTTGTAGCAACAAAACTTTTAAGTAAGCAACAGACACTAATGTTTACGAACAAGAGAAAACAAAGAAATAAGCAAACAAAATAAGAAAACAAAGAAATCAGCAAAATAAGCAAACATCTGTCTAAGATGAGGGAAAATTCTCTCTAAAATGAAACCGGTTTGTGAGCTGTGCTGCTGCTGCAGCAGCCTCAAAGCACCACCTGCAAGTGTTAAGCAGGCAGTGAGAGCAGCCAAGGTTTGCTTCTCCCAGGTTCTCCCTGGCACCTTTACTCCTCTGACAGTCTAGAAAATGCCCTTTGGAGAAGGCAGAAGTGGCACCTCCGAGCACAGCTGCCCCAGGAGCTCACCCATGGAGCTCTAAGGGCTCGTGGTGGGGAGCACCTGGAAATGGTTGAAGTCTGTCCTGAAGCTGAGTGTGGTAGCAGGTTCATTACAGTCTGAGTTACACTGATTTAAAATGGGTCTGCCTTAGTCTTCATCATCCCAGCAGCTGTGATTAATCTCTGTATGAGGTGTATCAGGAGTCTGGTGGGTCTGATTCACATCTTTAAATGTAAATTAGGAGTGACTGCTGGGAGACACAAAATATTCCATAAGAATAATTTCTTTAGCTGAGGGAAGACAGGCAGGTATTGAAAGAAACCTAGATATTTTAAGAGTATTGTGAATAATGTTTTGATGTAGTTGTGTGAAATGTGTTTAACTCTACAATATGTGATGGTTGTTATCACTGTGATGATTGCAGTCCTCCTGACAGCACGTGTTTGTACAAAGCTGTGTGGAAAATGAGGGAACAGTCAGCTCTGACTCTGCAGCTCTGTCTGAATTATTGACCCATGGCATGGGAAACCCTTTTGTACTCACCACTGTGCCCTGCAGAAAGAGAATCAGGTGGGGTTTTCCCCCAGGGGAAATCGGAGGAGCCTAGAACTTGATTTAGAAAATAGCTTATCACCTTTAAAAATGGCCTAAATCCCACATTTAGAGAAATTTTAATCAGGTACATTTTTACAAAAGATCCAGGGTCCCAGGAACTTTTTGAGTGCAGAAATGCTAACGAGTTAGCTGTGAAAAGGGGGGGGGAAATTAACATAACATAACATAACAATGTATGTATGTCTATAAAGTGTCAGTAGGCAGTCCCAGAGAGAAAGCTGGAAGCTGTTTCAGAGCAGTGGTGCGACAGGGGGAGGTCAGGCCAGAGCTCCTGGAAGCTCCCTTGGCTGCCCAGTGCCAGTCTCGTGCTGGGTGTGCAGCAGTGCCACCATGTGACACTTTGGATCGTGTCACCGTTCTGTTTAACACAATCTGAACGATTGCAGGGAGCTGGTGGAGGTCAGTGGAGTTGATGCACTACAGTGAAAAGGAATTTTTGTAGTGCAAAAGCAAGCTCGGGTTTGCATGGACTGTGCACAGAAATGTTGTGGGCGCAGAAAGCTTTGGCTTTCAGGTAACGGCCCTAAATTTAGTGAGTTCAGTGGCAATCCCTTCCACTCTGATTCCGAATCAAAGGCCACTTGCCAAAGACTCAAAGGTTTCACTTCCTTTCCGTTCCTTGTCCCAGCTGCAGCGGTGGGGGGCAGAGAGAGGGGCCAGGATCCAGCGGGGGTCAGGATGGGCTGGGCTGGGCGGGAGCTGCCGCCCGGAGCAATGCCGGCCCGGCCCGCCTGGTGGCAAACTGCTGTCGCTGGAAATGCCTCCGTTCAGCACGTCTGGAACAACAAATGCGCTCTCCGGGACTGCAGGCTGTAATCTCATCCCCGTGCATTTTCATTTGCAGGGCCCTGCTCATCCCTCTCGAATAGCAATATTGCCTCCATCAGATACTGTCTCAACAAACGCGGAGTTCGTGCTGCAGAGATAGCGTCTGTGTCTCGAACTCCACAGTGTTTCGGGGGGCAAAAGTTTTCTTCATCTTCTCTCTGTAGTCCTGGAACGGCAGAAATCAATATTCTGACATCTGTAAATCCTTTGTTCCCCTTTTCACCAAGGCTTTATCAGCTGTGGGAGGGAGGGATGGGGGGAAGAGGGCGTTGAGAGAGCCATTGTCCCTTCTCTCGGGAATGATCTGGAACTACTATGCAAATCTTCATTTGAAGACCCTGGGAACTGGGGGAGGACTTTAGCTGCGAGCTCAGTGGGAGGGGAGCTCTGAATCCCTGCTCACACACTCCTGCCTAGTGCAAGGAGCTGGGAAGAATCTTTTGAACGAGCAGAAGAGACATTTTGTGCTTTGTGCGCTCCTGTGAGGCTTTGCACTCTTTATGTCTCCTGTTTTGTGCCTTTTTTTCTCCATACTTTTTCTAAATGTTTGCATAAGAATTGGGGGCGGGGGGGGGGGGGTGGTGAGAGATCCAAGAGCGATTAGCAGGGATGAAGTCAGAAGGGTGCAGGGTGCGGCACCTCTCCTGCCTCCCTCTCACACCCTGGGGTCTCCCACCAAGCAGTGGAGCAGCTGCAGTGCTTCTAACGCACCTACATCCCCATTGCTGGCATTAGCATATGGCACAGGCACAGATTCAGCAAAGCAAATGATTCAGCTGGTCAGGAGTAGTGGAGTAGAATAATTTGCAGTTCTGAAATTATCGCGTTGTAGCCAAGTCTTCTCTTACAGGGGCAAAGCCCCAGAGAGCAGAACCTGCTTTGTGAAACCCTGTGGGCTGTCCTGGCTTGGCTCCGAGCTCTGTGTCACCTGGTTTGTATTAGGGCAGGGTCACACGAACTGCCAGCTTTCCTGGAAGTTATGTTGGGTTCTCCGTAGGCCTCGTGGAAGGGGAAATATCCTGGCCTGAGTTGTAGCCACATGGATGAGCAGGAGAGTGGGGCAGGGCCAGTTCAGATGCATATCTCTGCATTTTTGTGTTTATAACTACTGTAAAGGTAGTCATAGTCCTTTTGATTTCCTGACCTTCATTTTCAGGTCATCTGTCTCACCATTATGTTTTCAAACTTTTAAGGGTTTAATGCTCCAGAAAACTAAAATTTACTTTTGAATAATGACAACCCTGGAAAATGGAACACTACTCACTCTCTCCTGAATAGCTGAGAAGATGTGACCACTTAAAAATCTCATTTTCTGTCAAAACTGTAGGAACTGAGCCCTGATTGTGTGTTACCTCCCACGTGAAAGCCAAGCAGTGTAAACCACTGGTGTTTGTCCTGCAGTACTTTGCTACTGTGTAGAGGGAAAGTGCTCCACAAGCTTGGTCTCATATGCACAGCTGGCTCTGAGTCTGCTCTGGTTTTCGGTGTGTAGCTCCAGCATGACTCAGCTGATGGGTGAACCCCTGGAATGGTGCAAGCTGGAGCCAGCCTGGACACGGCCTCTGGCTCCTGTCAGTGCCCCCAGCACCTGTGCACGCTCCGTGCCCATGCAGATGCTTTTCTCAGTGCACTTGTTTGCATGAGGGCTGGTGTGTGAATGCACATTCTTCTCACCCACGCCTCAGATACGCATGCAAACACACATCCTCGAGTGCACACAGCCATTCCCTTTCTCTCATACACGTTTGTGCACATACACAGACCTTTTTGAAAGCTCCTGTTTTCAGAAAGGTTTTATTTATAGGTCCTGCCTGGTTGTGAATGTGAAAGAGAGAAAGCCCCTCAGAGGGTTCCTTTCATGTGTAAATCAGCCTAGGCTGAGAGCATTGGGGTCACTGAGAGGAGGATTTCACTCTTAATTACTCAGAGAGAAAGCAGGCAGGGGACTTTCTCAAACTAATAGGGTTGTTCTCTGCTGGGGAAATCAGCTTGAGACGCCCAAATTTCTCTTGCATCAGACTTCGGGCTCTGATTCACGGGCCTCTTCTGCCAGTAGCCAGAGCTGTCTATGTGGCACTCGGAACAAACAGTTCAGCTTCCAAAACAGTTTACTTATTAAAGATGGTTATGCTCACTCTACTAATTGGGTGTTCTTTGGAGACTAAGGGAAGAGCTGACCTAGCTTGCTTTGGTTTTATGCTACTTTATTGACAAAGATATTAGTCTGTGATAATGTATCTGTGACTCCATCCTCAGTATTCTTTCAGACCTGAAAACTCACACTTCTCTGCCAAGTAGAAAAATGCTCTCCAGATTAGTCCAGTGAGCAGGACTCTGAATTTGAACTTGAAACCAGCACTGGATTCCCAGTTCAGATTCCCACCGAATGCCTTTGTATCCTTAGCTGTGGAATGGAATGATCTCTCTGGAATGGGACTGTTGAGAACAAAAGTCAGTCTGTATTGTGATACTCTTGGAATAAGGCTGTGAATGCCAAGGTAAATGGGTGTGTCTGAAGAGATGTCTCTTTTTCCTGGGATGCAATACAAGCACGGGGATTCCTCTGCTGAAGTAGAATTGTCACTCTTCATCTCTGGTCATAAAACTGAGTCTGGAAATCTCCTACAGAGGTGAGAACTCCCAGTCACAAGACACTTGAGTTGTCCAGAGGGACTTGAGGGCCTGCTTGGGCCACCACACACTAACAGAATGTGTAGCTGTCAGCAGCTGCAGGGAAGAAATCTGTGTTAAGTGCATACTCATACAAGCATGTGACTGTGCACTTACACATGTTTTAACTTCACTTGACAAAATTTACACTTTCTCATCTGTACCTCCTTTTCATATATGGCCTCTGCTTTTCTGAACAGGAAATAAATGCATTGAGGGCTGAACATTCCCAGCCCATGCACAAATAGCCTCGTGGGAGCCTTGATTCAGGATTCTTGGAGCTGTCTTAGTTCAGCTTGCCTGGGAAGGTGGAGGGGTTTGTCTGGGAGCACCTGTTTGAAGATGCTGGCTCATAGTGGTGGGAGCCATGGGCAAATGAGGTCAGCAGTCTGAAGTATCTGCAGAGGTCAGAGGGAAATGAATGGGTCATTTCTTTTGCAAATGAGGAGCTGCAGCCTGGAGCAGCCTTAGCAGAGCCCAGCATGTGGGTCCTGGCTGTTCCTTTTCTGACCTGATGGAAATGGGGCCCAAAAGGACTTCCCTGATGGAGTTCTGTCTCCATTAAACAGCCTTTGTTATCTTTTCCTCCTGCAGCATGCACTGGGTATAGAGCATGGATTGGGGGTTATCCTGGCTACCAGCACACTCAAAAGGATGAAGGTTTTATGGCTGCAGAGAAAGCCTTGGGCTGCAGGGTATCCTTATTGCCTGTCCAAGAGGAAAGTCTTGGTTTAAGACGTAGAACACATGTATATTTCTGCTTTAATGCTCCTTTTTACTCAACCTACACTGAAATGAGTAAATCTAAGGGCTGCTTTAAAATAATGCACATAACTGACTAATGGATTAAAAAGCCTGGATTCTGTTCTTCATTCTGGTGGTAAATTTTCAGTTACTCTGCAAAGCCCTCTGAATGCCTATGCCTCACTTTTTCTGCAAAACACTGAAGAGAGGTAGTGTTGTTTTTTGGGGTTTTTTGTAACATCTTGAGGATTTGGGGTACAAGATGCTTTATCTATACAAAATATCACTGTTAGCACTGTCTGTCAGTGAAGTCTCTTTTAATCTACTTTTATGCAACGTTACTTTCTCTGAATTGTTGATTTAGAATTAATTTTAATGTTATATAAACAATGTCAGTTCTCTCTTGCCATTTGCTCTTTTGCTTCTTTGCAGACCACCGGGGAACTCCTTTAGCTGTGACATTGTAATGGGAGGTGGAGACACCTCGAGGAGAAGGTCGAGACAGACAACAGCAATTCCAGTCAATAACATCCTGACTTGCCTCGATTACAGGTTTGTGTGTGATCTGTGCATGCCATCTTTCCTATGTACAGGTATTTGCAATGAGGCAGGACATGAAAATAACTGTCTCCTTTGTAGGAGCTCTAGGAGCAGCTTCCTATTATTATCATTGTCTTTTCACAGCTTCAAATAGAGTAGGGCAAGGTGAGTGTTTTAAGGGAAGGCAGCTAAGGTTGGAGTCAATGTACTCAGGGTTTTCCCTCACTGCTGTTATGTTACAGCCATGACAAGCAGCTAGAAGTTAGAACAGTCCTAGGACTGCCAGAACTTACTAAAGGGAAACATGAACTTATGTTTAAATTTTACCTCTGCTGTGTGTAAAGGGTTGTTTTTTATGGCTTTCATCTCTATTTTCCTTTAGAAACATCAGAAGAACTGTACACCCTTCAAATCTGTGTTGATGTGTTTTAAATGTATGATATGGAGCACATCCACTCTCAGCAGGTTGCAGGAAGGGGCCATAAAATCATAACACATCTTTGGAGGGGTAAGCTTGTTCTTTATTTCCTAGAAGCATCAGCTGGGTTTACACCACTTTATGTGGGAAGAGCTGTAGGACAAGATGAATGTTCTGAGGTGTCAGAGACAATTTCATGTTTGGGGTAAGGCTGTGGAGCCTCTGTCCAGGCAGTAATTTGACAGCAGATACGGGCACACAGTAGTGCAGGCTCTGAAAATCGCAGAAGCCTGCTGAGTTATTGTGAGCTGTTGTGGGCACATGGGTCTGCCTGCCTCACATTGTGCAGACATAACTGAGGCGTAAAGGAGGCTGGCAAATTGCAGAACAGAGATGGAAGGAGGAACAGGGGGCTGAAGAAGAAAAGTTAAGGGTTCGTAGACAATGGGCTCAAGCCTAGTTGTGAATTCCTAGCAGGTTTTTGGTCTTTAAATGAAAACATTTGTCAAGTAACATACTGATTTAATGTGGGAATGGGATAGATATCTGCAAAGGTTTTGTGGTTTTTGGTCTGATTACAAGAGATTTAACAGAGAAAGCAGTTTTACTTTCTCCCAAGGTATGTATTTGTTCATGTACCAAAACTAAATAGGGCAGGCAGTATAGATGACAGCACACAAAGTGAGGCACAGATGATACATATAATGTTTCTACAGATTTGGACTGATTGTAAATAAGGCATATAATGTGATTTCCTTCTGGTAGTGTCCAACCATACCATCAACAGCATTGGTGAATTATCCAGGGCCTTGCATCAGCTGCACTTTGCTACACCTGGCTGCTGGTTTGCATCCTCTGTGCCACAGACCCACTCCTCTTTTACCTGGGCAATGCACCTGGCATTTCCATCGTGAGCAGCACCTTTCTTGGACCCTTCATTATGTCCTGTCACTGCACTGCACCTCAGTGTCACAATGTAGTGCCTTGGCTGTACTCAGCAGTGGCTGTGATCAGGCTGCATGTCTGTGCTGTGCCTGTCACCAAACTGCTGGGACAGATGCATTCCACAGAGCACAGCCAGCAGCTCTGTCAGGGCTCTGTGTAGCCCTTTTTGGTGCCTGTCAGGAATGTACCAGGCTCTGCACAGCAGATTGGTAGGCAGTCTCACTACCACACCTCTAGCTGATGGACAGGCTTGTAGTATTTTTAGATTGGACCCTCATTTCAAATTTGGTTTTGTTTATTTGTTTTGTCTTTTAAACTTTCAAAAGCTTTTTCTCAGACCCTGAACCATTCCTATGCTGGTGCCTTGTGAGTTAGTAAGGACTCACAAGTTTTTTTTGGTAGATGTGTGCAGGAAGTAGCTACAGGGTTGGTCATTCCTGTAAATCATTGGACTCTTCATAAATTTAATTCTGAGCTTTTCCTTAAAAGCCCTCTCCCAAAGTGGACACAAGACAATGGACACCAGCAGGCACAGCTCCCAGTGACTAGGATATTGTCACATATCCAAAAGCCTGGTGGGAGGAGCAGACATTAGGTCTGAATTCATCCTGGCAGGGAGATTTGGCTGAGAGAGAAGGAAAAGAAGGTCAAAGGCAGCTCCAAGGAAACGGCTTTGGTTTAAAATGTTTCATTAGAGTTTTCACACTGGAAATATAAAGTACAAGAATACAATTACTTGGCAGAGAAGCCACATTTAGTAACAGTCCTGTATACTTTCAGCATTCTGTATGGAAGGACACACAATATATCCCTGGCCACCTCAGCAAATTTATGCGTTTCTCTTCATAAATGTGGGTTTTTCCAAAATATTTTACATAATTTGGAAGGGTTTTTAATCAATATTGATAAAATATGTTCTTTCTTCAGTAGATCATTGCTCTCTACTGTATCCATGTAAACTTTGCAGGGCAGACTGGCTTTTATCTGAGCCGTGTATCAGTGTCAGTGCAGCTGGGAACACTTTTGGGATGCTCACCTCATGTTTTTTCCCTTCCCTTCTTTGATTTTTCCCAGTGTAACTCAAAAAGATAATCCCAGACACCCTTTCCCAAAGGGTTAGTCTTTCCTTATTGATTCAAGAAGTTGTCTTTTTAAAGACACTTGTTATCTGCCACTTGGGTTTTGTTGCCTCAGGAAGTTTCACCTCTCCCTGCAGGCAGGGCTGGGAGTTTGGACTAATGCAGATACCTACAAGACCTGCCAGTGCAGGGCCATGGCAGATGTCACCTGTAGGAGGTAGGAAGTGGGGTACCAGTATGTCTTGTCTGTGTTCTTCTTTTGGGACACAGATTCACCAAAGAGCTGAGCAACTGATATGTCACAGAGGAATATATAGTGTGAGTGACTTTTTTTTTTAATGGGAAGCCAGGATTAGTTTACATTTGCATTTTTTCTGGTTTAAGTTATAAGCTAAAAATGTGGAAAGGCTTTGTCATTACATCTCAGTGGCAGTTTTCTTTATTTTGGCCTAGGAAGAAGGGTTCCCCAACAGACTGGCAAAACACAAGCACACACACAGTGCCCTGCAAAGGTAATTCCTTACCAGACCCTGAAACAGTTGAAGTACAGATTGTCTGTCTTGCACACTGCTAACCTCTTTGGCATATTTGTACCCAGGTTCCTTTGTCAGCACCTGGAATCATTTTTATGTTCTCCCCTGGCTGTGCTGGGCAGTGTGCTGACAGGGCCCTGAGTGCACCAGCTGATTCTGCAACCTCCTACCCCTGTCCTACAGGTTTGGCTGCCTGTGTTTGAGGTCTGTCATGATGCAGTGGAATGTAAGCTGGGATCAGAGTGCTGTGAGAAGAGCTGTCTGCCAAAGGGCCGGGAGAAGCCAGCTGGGGCCTCCCCAGTTCCATTGGGAGCCATGGCACAGAGCTGCCCTTGTCCTCAGTCCTCATGTGGGGTGGGCTGTAAGGCTGTTTGTGCCTGGCTGTGGCTGATCCTGACTTGACTTCCTGGCTTTGCTTCAGACCTGGCACTTCATCCCTGTGGGCTCCCCGATCTCCTGGCTCTATGTGGTCACTGTCACCAGACCTGCTCTGCTCTTCTTGCTTGGTCACTGTCTGTGTGCCCTTTTACCCAAGGTCCCTGCTGTCCCTGCTCACCTTTGCTCCTCAGGCTCCCCAAGCTCCTCTGCAGCTGCTGCTCTGCCCCGCTCCTGGCATGGACCACAGCCCCTCCGTGTGTCTGAGACTCCTGGAGGGGATGGGCACGGATATGAGAGATATTATTGCAATGACAATAAGGAAGATGTGGCATTAATTTTGCCTCCCTTCAGCTGCCTGAAAAGCCAAAGCAAAATTCAGGTCTGTCAGCAGGAGCCCGGAGAGCAGCCGGCAGGAGGAGCTCGCTGGACACGCCGCTGGATCGTTCCCAGGCACTCACAGACGCGGGTTTCAAGGGCATCGCGTTAGATCTGCCTTCTTGGGACTTTCTTGCAGACAAACCACCAACAGCACAAGGCAGAGGAAACTTCGTGGTATTGCAGCCGAGCAGCCCCAGTGATTTATATTAAACGTGTTTTAGACTTTTCTCAGCTTGTTACTCCCACCATCATGCTTTTTCCTGTCATTATTTTAGACACTTAAGGTGTTCAGGAAGATACTGAGGGTGTCTTTTATTCCCTAGAAGCAGCCAAGTGTTTTATTTTCCAGGAAAGTTAGAGTAAGATTTCTTGGACAGCATCCTAACCACGGAGTAAAGAATTCAAAAACAATGTTTGTCTTAGCATAGGAAGATATCCTCCTGGAGTCCTCATGACCTCTGAGAGGACCTGCAAGCACAAAGCTCTGAAATGTATCAGTACCACTCTGAGTATTGGCTTGACAAAGTTATTCAAGCAGTTCTGCCTCCTTGTATACAGCTCACCTTTGTCCTCTGTGAGAAGCGGGCACAGAGGACAGTAGCAGGTCTTTTGCACAACACGGTGTTCTCTTTAGTTAGGTGCAAAGTGTCACTCTACTTCTTAGGGCCAGTCCTGCAGCCCTAAATTTCACAACCCCCATGGTCGTGCCTCTGCACCACCTTTAAAAATAATTAAGTTGTTTGTTTTTTTTAAGTTGGTGAATTCTTTGCTTTTGTAAGTCTGTCCCTCATTTAGTTACTAAATGGGAGCTGGGTGCCTTCTGGTCCTGAATGTTGCTGTAATAATTATTTTGATTCTGAATGTGCCAGAAACTATTCTAATGCATATCAGTGTAAATTAAGTCAATAGAGATTCTTCAAATTTATCCTGGTGTTCAAGAGAATGGAATTCATGCACTTCAATTTACAGCTTATTAAGTGATCAGAATTAATGAACTTGCAATGACCTTTTCTGTTCTTGTTTACACGTTTTCTTCCTATTCACTCATAATGTACATGATTTAGAAAATGCAGAGAGTTGAAAAGGCAGCGTGTGGGTCAGATATGTCCCATGGAGCACAGCATTGTGCTTCAGGCTTTAATCATATTTTCAAAGCTGCACTGTAGAAATGGCACCTCTGTTGATGCTCAGAAACCCAGCTTGATTTTTAGAACCCTCTCTGCATTCTGAAAGCTAGAAAAACATTTGTACTAAGGAACAGGGAAGCTGTTCTTCAGAGTCACTGGAGTTTAATAGATGCTGAACAATTCCTCCTTTTTTTTTGTTTTTTGAGAATTGTTTTTCAGTGTAGTACCATATTTCAGCCTGGAGGTTGGGAATAATACAAACCATTGGATCCATCTTCCCTTTTATTCTGAGGTTTGGAAATCACTTGGGATGTCACCAAGAAAACCTCACATAAACCCTAATTTTCCCAAGACCAACTGAACATTATTGCACTGTGATTCAGCTCAGTGCTTGAATGACGAAAGTTTCCCTTTCATTTTCATTATGTCTAAGGCTAAACTTGTGAGGCTGTGTGTCCATCTGGTCATTGTTTCTCTCTGACTTCATGGTATAGGATGACTTCTAAATGCTTCATCTGATCAACTACAACAATTTCAGTGACTTTCTATCATTACTGTGAGAGGGAACACCAGTAATTTGTGGAAATACTAGGAAATCAAAAAGGGAGAATTGTGAAGCAGCAGTGATTTAAGCACCACTGCACTTGAAGGTGTGAAGCAACTGGGTGATAGCTCTTGCATACCAATACCTTTATCTCATCTCTGGCTATTGTTCTAGAAAAGTTACCTGAGCACACAGAAAGATCTGTCACTAGATAAATACGGGGCTTGTACCCGAAGTTAGAAAGAAAAAGAAACCCTGATGTGAAGGAGTTAAGGGTGCTCTGCTAAAGGAGTAATGTACACATGCACAGGAACACTGACAGTGACATTTAGAGAACCCATTTACTCAGGGAGTGGAGGTAGATGGGGCATTAAAATGCTATTGTAAGAGAGAATAAGGGATTCCTGAAGAGGAAAACGCTGCTATCACAGCAACACATACACAGCCTGCTTGAGGGCATGCACGTGCCCCAGACACTGCCAGGGGAGCTGAGAAGCTTGGGAAGGTGGCATATGAGGCACATGGACAGGGGGAGTGTGAGGCTTATGGAATAAATCCCTGTATGGGACAGCAAAATCTTCAAGGGAACGGCTGTAGATAATAAACTGCCCACAAAAAATGAGAAATAGAGGGCAGGCAGCCACCTCACCCTGAGCAACTCTGCTGATGGCTGTGGAGAGTGAGGAGGACCATGGCAGCACATGGGAAAGAGGTTTCAAGCCATGTGGGCTGGTTCTGGCCATGTATGACTTGCTGGAAACCAGAGAAGCTGGTCAGTAACCCAAGCAGGCACACGTGGAGCCCAGGGCTGGACAGAGCTCCCAGGAGAGCCACACAAGTCACTCACCCTGCAGAGAGCTGGAACTGCTCCCCTCTGTGCTGGGGCAGAGGTGGTGCCTCTCAGGGCCTACTGGGCACTCCCTGTGCCTGAGGGTACCATGCAGAGACAGCCCCTGGAAGTTGATGTATTCCTAATTCTTTACCTCTTTTGGCTCATGTACTTGCATACCAATGTTAAAAGATGAGAGAGACCCTCAAAGGCAAGCATAGAGAAGTGACACAGTACTCACTGAGGATTTGTAAAAACGGGGGGGAGGAGACCCCATGGTTGCATCCAAGGAAGGCAGGGCATGCTGGATTTACAGGACTCAGATTTAAGTGCTACTGACATAAAATTCCAGTTGAAAAACAAATGTGTCTTAATATGAGTTTCAAGTACTGCTCTCTTTTTCTGAATTTGTTAACTTTTTTCTTCTTCCCTTCTTAGTGCTGAATATTCAAGCCCTCAAGACAACAACTTAACAACAGTGAGTATTTCCAAGTCCTGTTTCTTTAAAAAGTTCATAAAACTTGTCAGTACCCTAGTAAAGCTCTTTCTGCTATGCTATCTAATCCAAAGTAGTTTGTATCAGATTTATGTTCTGGCAGCTCTGTGATAAACTTGGACTCTACCACACTGCAAACACAAAAGATTACTTAAACTTGTTGTTATTGAATTTGAAGGACTCTTTTGTTTCATGGATCCACACCCTCATACCAAGCCCATGGTCCCCAATGGCTCTGTACCTTATACATTTACAAACTTAGGCAAACTGGAATGAAGACATTTCCAGCAGTGAGAATTTATTATTTTGGTAGATTTAGCCTGTTCTTTTTGTTAAAGTTGTGCATGTAAAAAAACACAGTAGGAGATATAAAGTATTGGAGAATTCAGTGATGTTGGGTGTTTTCACCAAAGAGTCCTTGAGATGTGAAACTCAGGTTTTCTCTCTCTCACTTAAGTCTCCTTAAACCTGATGTCTCAGTTCATAAGGCTGCCCTGAAACTTTGGATCAACCTGGTAAAGTTCCTAGAGAAAAACAGTTACGCAGAAAATTAGCCGACTCTTGACTCCCCTGGTGTGAGGCCTTGCAAACTTGAGCCTGAAAACATAAAAGACTGAAACTCATGTCAGTCACACCCTCAACACAAAGATTATAGGTGTAACCAGAGGAGGAATTCATCACAAAATCTCTCTGATCTGAAGTCAAGCAGAGCTTTGGAAACAGCTGCCAAATACCCAAGGCCAGAGAGAGACCTCTCATCCCAGGGCCAGTTCATCACCTGTGTTATCTGGGGCTCAAAGCTTGCTCTATCCCCAGACTGGAAAGAGGAAAGCTTACTGACATCCTTTGCAAAAACTGGAATGTTTTATTTGTGCATTGTGTTTGGTGGGTTTTTTGGGTTTGTTTTTTATTTGTTGTTGTTGTTGTTTTTTAATGTTAAAATGAGTCAACATTTGGTGAAGGAATAATAATTTTTTACTATGACTCCAGGAGAAAAAGGTATTTACTGTCTCCCCACTTCCAAGTGAGAAGTTCACCTTATAACAGCAGAGGTACCTTGGGGTTGCAACTAACAGTGACTAGCATCTCTAATAGTACAATGGTCTGTACTGTCTGACTGCCCCTGGAGCAAAAAATCAGTTCAATCATTTATAATTCATCTTTAAATTACTTGTCTTGAAAAGGCTGTATATTACTGGTGTATGACCATGCAATCTGGTGTCTGTGTTGTTTCTCTACTCATCACCACCACTATTTTACTTGTGTGTTGCCTGATTGCACTGACATTTGTAAGACATTAACGAAATTTGGGGGTTTTCTTCTAATGTTATGTCCCAAACTGTACATGACTAGCTCAGTGGGACTCTGGTGCAGGTCACTCTGCATTACTCTGAGAGCTGCTGGAAGTCCAGGTGTGCACAGGCAGCAGGGACAGGCAGAGGACACAGTGAACTTCTCTGCTGGGTTTTGGTTTCAACCCCATGCTCTGTGCTGTTGTGTTGTGCTGTGAGAATCCTTCAGTTCTTCTTCCCTTTGGGTCTTCAATGCTAGCAGATGGAAATCCAGCTCAACTTTCAAAAACTCTGAATAATTTATTAAGAACAAAATTGTTGGGTCTGAGAGCTGGTTCCTTTCTCTTTTTCTTTCTCCTTTTCTCTCTGCAAACTGCCTTTCAAAACCAAAGTTTCTAATTACAGGTCAGGGAGGCAGGTTTAATCACACAGCAGAGCCCTTGATGCAGCATTAGAGAGTGTTATTTATACACCTGAATTAATAGGGATGCAGCATTTCAGTTGAGAAGAATAAGGTGGTTTTCAATTTCACTCTTTTTATGTGAAACAAACCACATCAGATTCACTGAGCTTTTTGACCTAAATTATTGGGATTCTGAGTAACTAGCAAGTAGCTGCTGTGCAGAGCTAGGGAAAAAAAAAAACAAGAATAGACAGAGAACTGCTTACATAGCAGAGGAACAACAGAAGCAGGATGTATTGGAAAAAGCTGAATTGGAATGGAAAGAGGAAGCCATTGGGAAAACTGCACGGGTAGAAATGCACATATGCAATTGTCTATACCGAGGAAAACTTTTGGAGAGCTGTGGCATCCACAGAAACTGAAGTGCAATGTCAGTCTCTTGGCACACACTTAGATACCTCAAAATATTATGGTACTTTTAGGACCAAGAATAGGAGAGATGGAGGTGAAGCATGTGAGGGGTTGCAGGGAATGTGATCCCTACCCCCTCACCTCACTTACAGTCACCATCAGCTTTTGCAGGAGGTATTTGTTCTGTAGTACTGGAAAGAAGTGGGGAATCCCAAACAAAATTGTTCATGCTGTGCTGGGAGCTCCAATGTGACTGTTTTACAGCAGCACAGAGATCCATTTTCCCTGCTAGTTTGGATATGAAACTCACATTCACTGTGGACTTTCATCCAGCTCTATCCCTGTATCTAACTTGTATATTTTGGCTTCTTGCTTGCTTTCTGCTTAGAAAGTCCAGGAAAATCTGTAGCAGCTTTCTGGACAATGTTTTCAGGGCAAAAATTTGGGCTCCTGTGCCTATGCATCTGATTCTTTCAGCTGTGGAATACACTGAGATCCTGATTGGCATTGTTTGGGCTCTGAGATAGCTTTGTGTATCTCCCACTTGGCAGCTGTGTTGGGCCACATGATGGGCAAGGGGGTCCCCAACACCAGGCTTTTCCTTCTGGCAGCAGTTTTGGTTGTGGTTCACCTGTGGTGCCTGTGAGGCACCTCTCCCACAGCATGCCCTGCAATACAAAAATATCTGCCACATAAAAATCCCAAAGTGACAGAGAGGGAGGGTTGCTATGCTTCAAAATAGCTAAAATGCAGGTTCTGTGGGTATGGAGCTGAGAACAGCAGCAAGGATACCAGATCTTATGCTCAGTATGTGAGACTTGGCATGGCCTTGAACTCCTAGAAGCTGCATTTTGCTGTGAGTAGTAGATTCCTAGAAACTGTACCCAGCAGCCTCTAAGCTTAGCTAAGAGACAGATGTATGGAACACAGGCAGCACCTATATGATATATTACTTAAGGAAAAAAAGGTTATCTACTTATGTAAATTTACATTCACTCCCAAGATAATTTTTTGTTTGGTATACTTAGACTGTGAACCCTGTCCTCATGTATGTCTGCAAATCATTACCACAGTGCTGGAGCAGAGTGTGTGGGGAATAGGAACTGATTCACCAGGTCCAGAGCATCACAGTGCCCTGGCCACTGAAGCTCTCAGAGTATGTCTCCAGCAGTGTGTCAGGATCCAAAACTGGGCTGCAGGCTGGATGGAAACTCAGTTGTAGAAAAGAGGTCAGAAGCCTGAGAGAGCAGGCAAAAGGGAAGTGTTCAGCAGAGAAAGATGAAAACAACTGTTCCCCTGGACACAGTGGGAGCAGCCAGCTATGCTTCCCAGGCTTTGCATTGCCAACAGGAGGTTTTCTACTGTTCCACTGTTCCATTATCTGCCAGGCTGCCAGGGAGGAGGATGTGAGGTCTGTGTGTGCTCTCCCTGTGACATCCCTGTTATTACTGTCACTTGCAGCTGGCTGACGCCCACCATGACAGAGGCCACCAAGGGTTTGGTGTTGTGTTGTACACCAAAGACAACTTGTCTCGTGTCATAGTCAGGCTGCCCTGCCTGTGGGAGGAGATTTAGGGAGCACTGCTGCTTTTTGGTATGTATGTGGGTTTTCTTCCCCAAAAATAGCTACCTGTTGAAGTGGGAGTATTTCAGAAGGGGAGAGGATTAGCAGTGGTGACATGGATGGTCATATTTCAGGGCAAACACCTGTAAATCGGTCTAAGCCTGTAAGTAGCAACCTATTAAACTGAGTTCACCTCAGCAGCACTTGCCCTGTGTCTGCTTGAGAAGGCTGGATCCAGTTACCCAGCCCTCAGAGTACAGCTGCTGCTCCAAGCTCAGCCTTTCCCCATCTTCTGTACCACTGCAAATGGAGCAGCTAAGGATGGTAACAGCTGACAAGACAAAACACATTAAAGAGGTGATGACATCTTTTTAATACATCATCTATATTTCTACTTCTCTCTTATCCCGTTTCTGGCCCCTCTTGGAGCTCTGAAATGCTTTTCCTTCTTGTTTTGTTTTTATGGGCTTTTTAGTAGAGAAATTCTGTTAACATTAGAGATGTTATATGGAGTCTTCCTGTGCTGTCCCTTCTGTTCTGCAGAAAAGCTGCCAGCAGGGATGTGTTGCCTGGTTTGCTAGAGGGGAAGCACACAGCTGTTGTATTATCCCATGCCCTTTCCAACCTGCAGGTGTGCAATGAGAAATCAGAATATTAATTTGAATCCTCTGTTCTTGCCCTGGGTTTCTGGGTTTTCAAAAAGGACTTGACCATGTGGAATTTCTGAATGAACGGATGCAAACTCCCTTTTAACAAACTTTACATAACAAAGTGCTAAGAACACTTTTCCTATAGATATATGGCTTAACCACAAAGTATTAAAAGTTACTTTGTAAACAAACATTCTGTACCTGTGACCTGGCAGTGAAAATGTTACAGGGTCACAGAGCTCAATCCAGTTCTCTCAGCAACTTCCAGAGTGATTTCTGACATTACAGTATTTAGTTCTTGGGTTCCACTGTTCCATTATCTTAGAAAATAACAACCACCTCACCAAGACTCTGAAGACATGTGAGATCTTTGTCTAGTTCATGTGTGCAACTGAGATTGCATAAGGAAAGTATCCTTGTTTTTACTGATATTTAAATATTCTGTTAGTCACTCTCCTTTTTGTACCTTACATGTGTGTGTGTGTGTGTATATATATATATATACACACTTTTATATAATCTAATTTATATAACTTATAATCGATGATGAGCCTACAAAGTTCTTAGGAGTCACTGCTTCTTCAGGTCAGTTACATCCACCCTTCTCCTAAGAAAATCGAAAATTGGCATTCAAAAAAAT